CTTTAAACTAATAAAATCTAAACTATATGACAGGTAGGAATCCTATTTTAAATACAAATTCAGTGCATATTCTTAGCATTTAAATTATCTTTTATTTGTTTTTTATGAATATATTTTATTTGTTATATGGAGTAGACGGTCAAAATTTGATCAAATATTAGGAGATCCAGTAAACCACGACAGAGGGAGTACTCTGTGAGCTAAATTTCCCACTTTGGATACGAGAAAGGGGACACCTAACTGGGAAGCGAGTGTTTGACCGTTCGATACGGCCATCGTACGGCTCTCGCGCCTCTCGCAGTTGCACTTGGTTTTTCCGGACCAAAAACCGCCGCTAGGGTTTTAACATCAGTGATGGATCATCAGTTCATTATTAATCCAACAAAAATTCGCGACAAATCTCTGGAGTAAAGCTCCGAGCTTTCCTTCAGTTTTTGCAATCCCTCGATGTCTCTACCGCCGGAAGCAAGTGACTAGTCATGCTTAGGCGGCTGCTGCTCCGGGAGGTCCAAGCTTGCGCGGAGTCGTTCCCCGAATCGAGCAATCAGATTGCGTATGCAAGAATCTGTGGATCCCCGTTGAATCTGACTAAAGATTCGCGTAAGTATTGCAATCCTCCTATCAGTTTCCGCTTGCCTCTAGTTTTTAGAAGAGGAGTCGTTGTTGGTTCTTGTGGCGTGAGATCTTTTCAGAACTCTGATGTCCAGCCGCCGGCTCGGTGCTTTTCCGGCGACGCCTGCGTGGCGCCTCCGGACAAGATCCCGAATTCGCCGGCGCGCGTGCTCCGGCATGGCCTCGTCCGTGCGAGCGCGCAGGCCTCGCTGCTCGAGTATCTCCATTCTACGCGGGGAATAGAGTTCATGCTCGCCGAGCACATGAGCAAGAACTCTCCGGCGTTCCTCGCCCGCCTCCTTGCCAACGCAGACGCCGGCGGCGGCACCGATGTGAGATTGTCAGTCTCCAGGTTCCTCCAATACCACCCCATCAATGAGTTTGAGCCGTTCTTCGAGAGCATTGGGCTCAGGCCGTCAGAGTTGGGGAAGTTCTTGCCAAGTGATTTGATATACCTGAAGGATGCTGTTGAATTGCTGGAGAATTACCAAGTACTCTGTGATTATGGCGTGCCACGGACCAAGATTGGTAAGGTGTACAAGGAGGCCAATGAGGTGTTTGGCTATGGGCACAGTGTGTTATTCTCGAAATTGCAAGAATATGAGCAGCTTGGATTGAGCAAATCAACAATCACCAAGCTTGTAGTGTGTTGCCCCAAACTCCTTATTGGTGAAGCCAACCTTGAGTTTCTGCATGTTTTGGATAAGCTGAAAGCCTCTGGTATTATGCTCGGATGGTTTAGAGGGGGTTTGTCAGATGAGAGCACGCACAACTGGAGACGAACTCTTAAAATGCTTGAATTTCTTGATATGATGGGTTCCAACAACAAGACTCTGCTGGTAAGGCTGATCAAAGAACATCCAAGATTTGTGTTTGGCGAATCTGGTAAGAAGTTGTATCTTCTTGTGAGCATGCTGTGTAAATTTGGCATTCAGATAGATAGCATGCTACAGCTGTTCGTGCAGTGCCCATGGGTTCTAAACATGAAATTTCCAAAGAATCTGCAGAAGTCAGTGGATTTTTTGACTCAGATAGGAATGGAGGCATTCGACATTGCTCGGTTTGTCTCATCATGCCCTGAAATTCTTGGTGCTAGTTCTTGTCAGAGTGCTGCTATTGTGTTGTCTACCATGAACCTGTCTGCTGCGAGGTTATGTAATATCATAAAAGATGACCCTATGCAGTTTGGTACTTTGGTATCAAAGAAAAAAATTGCAGCTGTGACAAAGATAGACAGTTTTTATCTTGGAGAGAAGGCTGAATTTTTGCTGAAGATCGGCTTCATTGAGAACTCTGACGACATGGTGAAGGCAATGTCCCATTTTCGTGGCCGCGGTGACCAGCTTCAAGAGAGGCTAGATTGCTTGGTCGATGCTGGATTGGACTATGAGGATGCCTGCAGCATGATCAAAGTGGCCCCATTTATACTGAACATGTCAGTGAGTATGATCAAGAAAAAGATCAGCTACATTCTGAATGACATTGGATACACTCTTGAATCTATTGTTGCTTTTCCTGCGATTTTCGGGTACAGTTTGGAGAAGATGAAGCTGAGATTCATGATGTACAAGTGGCTCACCGAAAATGGTGTCAAGATCAAACCAACAAACAAGAACAAGGTAAACAAGTCCATGGTAGCCTTGAGCACCATCATGGCATGCTCAGATGTCAGGTTTGTGAAGCAATTTGTGAATTTTCACCCTGGTGGACTGGATCAATGGCAAAGGTTGAAGAATTGTTCAACTATTCAGTAGGAATTACAAGACAAATATTCAATTTTATTTGGGAAAATATTCCGACACATAAGCTTTATTTCTTCAGCTGCCCCCTTGCAATGCAGGGCTAAAATACAAATCTTGACACATCTTCACAAATGCCATGTCTGAAAACTCAAGTTTTCATATTTGGAGGTTTTTACTTTAGATCTTGACTGAAAAATTGCTAGGACCTATTTGGAGAGGAATATCTCTTGGAAAGCTTTGGTATTTAGTTATTAGTATGTTGTAGGATATATCAGTTCATCACAATTGTATACATGTATAAACCTGTTATTAACATCCCATGTGAGGTTGACCAGCGGTATAAGGCTAATTGCCAGTCAGTTTCCAGATTACCTTTTTTTCTGTAATGTTAGCGATAAAATTTCTATGAAATCACCAAAGTCCATTCCAACTCTTTGTTGGCCCCGACTTTATCATTTACAGTTCAACTGGTAGTATGGCTTACAGTTTCATTCTAACCGATATATAATTGACAGAGACTTGCCTATTATATTAAAGGCTGATTTTAGTATTACGCGTGGATCATCGAAACTCCGTTTGGTTGGACCATTTCTGCCGACCACCATCAGGTGTGCGTACTAGAATAGAGAGAAGTAGCGCTGAATGTTTCTATGTATGCTTTGTGATAACTGATAAGTACTTTGTGATTTGTCGATCTGCATCTGCCGGAGCCAGTGCGGGAGCTACCACACTGAGCTGCACTGAACCTTGTGAATTTTGTATTGTGATTAATGCTTGTGATTTTAGGGTTGTAGTATGAAGATCTATTTTGACCTTCTGAACCTAAATAGGCTGTGCCTCGGTTGTCCTTATCACAAAAGATTTAAGAACAAGGCGCGATGTCCTTGTCAAAAAAGATTTCATAAATACCAAAAAAGGCATGGAGTATGTAAGAGAGAAAATTTCCGAGCATTTGGTATATTCTGTGTTCTGGTTTTGTCTATTCATCAAATGATTTTCACTTTTCACATTGAAGCTACTCTTAAGACTGCTGAACATTTTGGAGTACAGTCTCAGTGTGTATCATGCTAAGAGCCATTTACAGGCAACAATATAACCTGAAGCTTTGTTTTGGCTGTTTGCCCCATAAAGGCAAAGTCCGCTAGCGCTGAAAGCTGTTCATGTAAAAAACAAGTGAGCCCTCTGCTTGATGTCAAGAAAAAAGTGAGCCCTCTGCTTAAACCAGGTCCATGCATGTAAACACCACTATCCTACTAGAAATTATATGCTCTTGTTGATGCTATGGAATACCCCAAATTCATTTATATATAGATTTTTTGTTGATTCCAAATTGTTGTAATTCATACATCAAGAATGTTCCAGGCCGGCAGTGAAGCTGAAACTCTTACATGTTCAGCTAACGACACAACTTGGCACTTGGCTTAATGGGGAAGGAAAAGCTTGATCGGTTCAGCCAACCGTGGAAAGAGATGCAGTTGGTCTGGAAGATGTCTCTTAGTTGCAATCAAGTACTCCCTTCCCTCCGTTCCAAAATAAGTGACTCAACTTTGTACTAGCTTTAGTACAAAGTTAGTACAAAGTTGAGTCACTTATTTTGGGATGAAGGGAGTAGATACTTGGTATGCATGCGAGTAAGTGATCACTTGATTACAGAATCAGGGTGCTAATTAGATGATTTCTTCACTAATTGCCGGACGAATTTCCATTTTTCATGTTCTGGCCTCATTTTCTGTGCTATTCGGATTTTCCATGCAAACAAGGAGACACTTTATGTCTGGTATACCAAAACTTTTATCACTTGGTTGTAAAAGTATGGTGCTAATTACATAATGTCTTCACTAATTTCTGATAGATTTCAGTCGTTCAGACTCCGATATCATTTCTCTGTGCAATTTGGATTTTATCGAAAGAAAGGGACGCACAAGATGGGGTTTAGGGAATGGAATTTCTAGACAGCCTTACCCTTGCATAATACGCCTCTGCCACTGTGCTAGGCCGGTCGTTGGCTATTTCGATACATCGCAACAGGAAAAATACTTAATGCTGGTGTCCCAGAGCTTTACCTTTTCAATTTCATGCTCTTAGGATAGGTATAGCTGTCATCTCTGTTCAATCCTGTGATTATTTGATTTTGTTGTGCAAACCTCTGATTTCTCTGCTTAGTATAAATTTTCTGTTCCACATTTCAGTTTAGGTTAAGGCACTGTGATGAATTGTGATAATCTTGTTTACTAAACCAGTTTTTGCTTACTTTTGTGTCTAATTTTCTATATCATATTATAATATAAGCACAACATGACACAATTCAGCAGACTACAAACGGAGTGTAAATATACAAACAATTGCTAATTTATATAAATTATTTTCCACCTCCTTGCAACTTCGAACGTGCCTTGCGGACATGGTTACTTATGTGCCCGAGTGGCATGGTACGCTGAAAGCCTTCCTAATTTATTTCTCCAATCATCACATCAGAATTACTGCAAATATAGTAGGATTCATAAATTATCTTTTTCATAATAAAACCATAAATGACTTGTAACTTTTGTTGTTCCTTTTTGCAAGCCATCCTTTATTCCTTTTTACCACAATATTTTGCTATTTTTGTACATACAAGTATAATCCGTAAAGAAGTTCCTTGAACAATCATTCAGCTGCATCTTTGGCAGCAGTCTCGAACGCCCTCATGAATATGTTTGGAGGCTGACCACCACTGAGTTGATATTTTCCATTGATCTGAAATAAACAGCACAAAAAGATATCATGCACAAGTCACTAATAACTGGATAAGAGGTGAAAGGGACACTAACAGTAAAGTAGCTAATATTCATACCACAAAGTGAGGGACTCCAGAAATGCCAGAAGAGTACTTGTTGAGTTCTTCCTTAACCTTGTACCACCAGAAAACGGATTAAGAAGCTGCAGCCTTTTTCCCAAAATAACGATGGCCACCAGGAGCAACGGTGAGTAGAAAACATACCTCATCGACTCCTTTGCTAGGGTCCAGCAGAAGTTCTTCTGCTCCTTCTATGCCCACCTTTCTTGCAGCATCCATAAGAACTTGCCTTCACAGATTTGGAAAATGAATTTCACAAGACTGAAGACAACAGTGGTCAACATAGAAAGAAAGATTAAGGAAAAGAAAGTGCAGCAAGTTGATTAGAGGTTTACGTTTCCTCGAGTGAATGAAGCAACAAACAGCTTACTCTGGTAGCATGGGACAGTTTTAGTTCACATTATCCTCTGTTGTTTTCAGATGCTATAATTCTATTCAGAGGTGTGGTGCAGCATGAAGACAGTGAATGGCGATTTTTTGTTTGTCAATACAGAAAACAAAATGATGCAGCACATGTAACAAATAAAAATGGGCACGCGTTATTTGCTTTTGCCTCATTATGAGTAACTCACATCTAGAGTAGAAAATGGTCATCAAAAACCATGTGTTAAAGGTGAATGTATCTGGCACAGGACTTGTAGCACAATTTCACCTCAATAATTGTCACATGCGAAGGTGTATTCTTAATATGATG